TAGGGGCTCTGGCAGGAGGCGGGGTGCTCCTCTGCCGAGCTCGGCTGTCAGCAGTCCCGCCAGCCCCATCCCCTCGGCACCCGTCATCGCGATGAAGGGAACGTCTGCTGCATGGGGAAGAGCTTTTCCGTCTCACGAAGGTGGGGATGGAGGCGATGGTTCACCCAGCCGCGCAGCGCAGCGGGTCCACCCAGCCCGGCTTGCGCTTGCCTTTGGGTCCCGTCGCTCTCTGTCTGGGGCTCGGATTCCTTCCGCAGCCAGCACCTTCCCTGCGCAGACAGCGGTACTGCACGGCCTCTCTGGACCGCAGAACACCAAACTGGTGCCGTAGCAGCTCGGGCATTCGCCTGGCCGCTGCAGGAGATGGTGTTTGCCGATGTAACGCGGACTTGGGCACTGAGAAAAGACACCGGTGCGGTTTTGTGAGCTGCTGATTGCAGTGGCGAGAGGAGCAAAGTAAATCTAGGGGTAACAGGATAACGGGGTCGTCAGGTGCATTTTTCCTAAGCTACTTAGAGTTTTGCTACCATTCTGTAGTTATTTGTGAGTATTGCTGTTAATTGTTTTATTTCTGCAGGGAAACATTCCAGAATGTGTTCTGAAATTGTAGAAAATTCTGTGTAAGCTGTGAACTGCAGAGGAGCTTTGTGATCCTCCCAAAAACGTGCTGTTCTTGAGTTCATTTGTTTTTAAATAAAGAGGGAAGCAGGTTATGTATCAGGCTCCTTTCTGCTCATTCCCTAGGGGGAGAAGCGAGGCAGAGATCAGAGCAGTCTGTTGTAGATAGCATCGTAGTTCCCGAAGGCCCTTGTCACGCTGCATAGGCGAGAGTGGGCTGGAGTCTGCACCCCAAGGAGCTCGCGTCTGCCGGAGAGCGCCGTGTTCCGCTGGGGCAAAGGAGGTCTTTCCTCAGCAGCGCAGGTGTGCGCGTCCGCATCCGCCGGTCCTATGCTGAGAGTGGAGAGTGGGTCTTGCATGGCAGAGCGCAGTCAGTTATGAATTTATGCCAGCCATTTTACTCGTGGACGGAGAGAAACCAAGCTGTGAATACAAAGCAATCTGTTAAAGTGAACATACAAACCCCGCAATGATCTTTATTGAGCATCCTTTGTGAGCAGGGATTTTCTTCCTGTGCCCCCTTGTTCCACGCCATTTGTGTCTGGCAGCAGGAAACAATTTAAAAGGTTTACTAAAGCTGTGATTCTTGCCTGAACCATTGTTTCAAAATTTATTGTGAAAATTATTTTTTACAAATAGTTGGGAAAAGAAGTGAGCACCTGAGAGTGTAGTACAACAGATTGCATGTAAGTAGGATAGCCTTCAGTAAAATCTTAATATTCATCTTCTGTTGTAGCGTAGTCGGGGCTGATGCGGTGTCTGGCTCCAGGGGACTCTGATTTAGAATCACAGAATCATAGAATCATTTGTAGGTTGGACTCCTGATTGCTACCATTTATGAAGAGAAAATAACGGTAGATTCCCCACCTCTCCGATTTCCAAGGAATGACCTCTTCTTTGGTGCATTTGGTACTAAACTCGTGTGCCGTTGGAGTCAGTGGAGGTTTGATGCCAGTCTCGGTGTGCAGAGCATCCAGCTTTCCAAGGGAAAGGGTTGTGGTTTAAGACCCTGGACTGAGGGGAACCAGTTTCTGGTCTGAAGCTCTACAGCAGGTTGCCTGGTGAGACCAAGCTCCTCAGTCTCATTATACCTCAGTTCAGCACCTCTCAAAGAGGGGTGGTTTCTCTCCTAGGAATTTATGCACAGCTGGAGAGCTGAGGGATTCTCGTGGTGAAGCCGGGTAGGCAAGTGAAGCGATGACCAACGTCCCATGTGCAGAAGAGTAGGCCCCATGTAAGGGAAACCTAGCAGTTTGTCGAGAGAGTATTGACTTGAGAACCAAACGGGGCAAGTGCAGCGGGTGGATGCTCTGCTAAAGCCCGAGGTGTTGCTGTGGGAGGAGTACAGGCGAAAC